AGGACCAACCCTACTCCACTGTGACAATCTGGGAGCTGTGAAACGTGTCAAAAATCCAGTCTTACACTCATGCATTAAGCATATAGAATTACATCATTTCATTAAGGAGAAAACAACAACTAAAAACATTAAAGAAGTTTTTATACTTACAGACCTCCAGGAGGCCGAAATCTTCACTAAGTCCATAGGGCAAACAAGTTTGATCACATATCAATGAAGATAGGACTACACAATACTAAAATGAAGCAAGACTTCAAACTTCCAGCTATGGCAGATCTTTCTCCGAGCACGACTCTTGCTTCAAATCATCAAGCATCATTTCATTAGCATTAGAATCAAGATTCTTGTCATCTCCAAAATTCTTCACAAAAGGGCCTAAATCCTCTTGCAGAAGCTCCTTGAAGGCCGCCACATTTTCTTCGTACCTCACATGCACAAGCACTTTGTCATACCCCATCTTCCTAACATAGCAAGCAGAGCCGGCAGCATCAAGCCTCGCAAAATCTACGGCGCACCAATCCAAAGTTGAACTAATCTCCTCATACCATCGCATACTCACACGCCTTGGTCGAAGAAGGAGATAAAGATCATCCAGACAACTTATCTTTCGCCAAATCAACTTACGAACCAAGTAATCAAGAAGGCCAGGAACCAGTGCATCAATTGATTCCAAAACAAACAAAATTCTTGAGAGTACCTCCTCAAGAGGTTCAAACCAATTTGCCACTACACGACAACTTAACTTGACAAGAGCCCACAACACTAAGGAAAGCAATTTCAGAGTCCATAATCTCTCAACATCAGCATGCAACGCCATGATTGATTTTGACGATAAGGCAAGGGAAAACAAGACAGGGAGAATATCATCACTCTTCCAGAAAAGAAAGTACCCGAGGGCTGATGTGAGGAAGAGTGTCGGCAGGAACTACACATCAGCCCCCTTAGTGCCACCTAGGATCATCGTAGAAGTTGACAACTAGGATTAATCTCCACCAAGTATATTAGCAAATTCACCCAAGTAGTCATCAATATTCACTTGGCCGCAGCTTCATTTGAAGCAACGCAACAACAACCAGGTCATTCCTTCCTGTAATTATGGTAGCTGCCACTTAATAAGGCAAATTGAGAAACAACTTGTTATGTATGTAAATACCAGGCTTGAAGCCCGCATTCTTTAATGAAAACAGAGATGGTATTTTTCATTCCACATTTGCAAGGGAGAATGTGTATCTGTCACAACAGCAACATGGTCACTGCCTTTACAGTGCTCTGATCACAGTAGTTGCCTTTTCGCATGATCTGATGGAGAGCAACCAGAGACAAAAGAAAAAAAACAAGGCGAAGTTTATCCCAACAGTTGAGAGATTACACAGTTTGTGACAGTTTGTTCGAAACATGGTTATGTGAGTGACGTGCATTGAAGCTCTGTACACCCTGTGAAAAGGTCTGGGCATGGACCTGGGCTTCGCCTTTCATTTTCACCGTTTCAGATTTTTGATTCTACACTTTGAGTATTTCGTCCGTTGGTCGTTCAAAGTTGTATAATCCCCAGGGGAGGGATACTGCAATTTTGCTGATGTAACTTGCAGCATTTGTACCTGAGAGATTGAGTTGATAGTCACTCATTCTGGAAATCATGAGTGTCACCTAAAGCTTGAAAATTACCCCTTAGTTCCAGAATCCAACGCCACCAGTGAAGATGATGGTTGCGTGAACCACCTCCGCGTCGCTATTTCTGCAATAGCGCTTTGGTGCTCGAAGGATATTAAAAGCCATGCGTCATGGCCAGTTTTCGATCAAAGGATGTTCATTGAGGATTCACACGGAACTAAATTGCAGTCGTGGAGATTCATCTCTACTGCGATCTGTTATATGTGCACGACCAGTGTGAAACTGATGGTTTGATTGCATACGATTTTGGAGTATGTTCACAATCTCACTCCAGCATGTTAGTATTTGCACTTTAGCAGGTATCTGAAATCCACACAGATTTATGTTAATCGTTTCACGTGATGAAACATGCATATGGACGTTCACTTCATTACATTAACAGGTAGTTTTGAACCTAAATATGAACCGCAAGCGATTGTCAAATAGACTGCAATTTAAAAATATTCATTCACCTAAGACGTCGAGGATGCACCAGAGATACACAAGATACCAATTTTTGCAGTTGATTAAATTTTCTCAGTGAAGAAATAGATCACTTGTTGTTTTGTAGCCAGGTTTAGTCACTTCTAAATTTAACTCGCCACAGCTCAGATTAAGTATTCAACTGATTTTGAAAGGTTTTGATGGGGCAGATGTTTGTGTGCCACAATCAATACATGAAGCTCAAAAGAGATCATCGACGATTGTTTGCAACTTTAACGAAGTTTTTCGATACCTATTGGAGGTGCAGCGGAGCTTTAAGTTTCTAATCAGACATTTTATGGACGAGGCTGTATTATTACTAGTTCAGCTCTCTTGATCTGTTGTGATGATTTTCTATCTTCGATTTTGGTATTTATTTAAATATTTCTTATAACCTCTTCCAATCGTCTACATCAAGATGCTTTGTAATTGTTAATCAACTGGAGATGGGGCTGGTTTCATAATCCTGAAGACGGAAAAGGACATGATTGGATGTAGCATAACAGTGTCTGTCGACATTCAAGTCCAATCGGTTGATTGGGCTGTGTCATGTTGACCTTCTGCGGAACATGATTTAAGCTTGTATGAAAGTTCTTACCGTACTTCGAGAGGGTTCCTTGGGTAGCTCTGATCCTTACCAATATTTGCAGCTTGAGGACGAAAATAGAAATTACGGAGAAGTTTAATCAACCGCCCACTTACTTTTGCGGCTGCTGTAGATCAATTTGGCAAATGGCGATATGTCAGTGCATTGAAAGGTGAAAGAAGAATGCAAGCGGGCTTGAAATCATTTCGAAAGTGACCTTTCAAACCATCAAATCAACTTGATGTTGCGTCTAAGCTCCTTTTCAAACTGCGAGGAAATTTTTAATGGCAAGGTGTCGAAATCTAGAAAGACCATACGTTTTCTTGCTTTCAGTGCACGCTCGCCCTTATTTTTACTATGCTCATACTTGTTCCGATTTATCGGTCAACTAATAAAATTGGAACTAACCATGAGGTGCGCGTGGTGTGATTATCCGTAGATAAGTCTAGCGTAATGTTAGTCATTTGCACTACCGTAATTTTATCATACGTTGTAGTGACTTATCGACTAATATGTACGGCATTCTTGGAGTGAGCACTTGGGCAGTAAAGAGGGACCAGTAAGCTTTGGTAGAGGATCAAGTTCGAGTTGTGGCTGTTGAACACAAGTGCCGAGGATCTACTTATCGTTGTCGGCATTTGTTGTTCGCAACTTGATACAGATGCTTTGAAGGTTAACTCTTGACTCGCAGCCCCTTGTTGTTTGTGCGTGAAAGCACTCATGAAGAAGTTTTCTCCAAACGGCACGGGCCGAAACTACATACCATGTTGGAATGTTATGTTAACATGAATGATCATTCGTTGACTATTTCTGTCGCCGTAGCTCACAGTTTGCAAGCACACGCATAGTTTGCTTCTTGCTGCAGTTGTTAGAGCAGAGGACTGAAAGTAGGAGCCTCTGAGGTGCCACACAGACAGTCATCAAACAATCAGTCAGCCGAGAAATATTAGCACCAGATCAACTTTTTGTCTCAATGGAGAGGAGAATATCGAAAAGGGAATATTAAACAAGGTCAACCTCCCATCAGCCTCTGTCGTCCCGCGTGCTCGAGGTTGCGCTCGCTTTTAGTATCATCAACCAGGCGAGGTATGTGTGGATGCTCACTTCAACCATTGAATATGACTGTGAGTTCTACGAAACTTGAGGTTGGCAATGGGGCTCGTCTACGCCCACGTTGAAGGCCAATAGAAAATATCAAGGCCATGTGATGTAAAGTCGAATGCTGTCAAGCTCATTCAAGAGCTGGCAACGCAGCACTTTCAATTCCATGTCGTATATGCATGAGCGATCGAGGAGGTCCTGTTAATTATTCTCATGACATCTCTCTCTTTCCATAATGGAAGTGAGAGCCATGATACTGGATGGGTCCCTGATAAAATAGAGAGCCAGGTCCCATTACGGGGCTATTATTCATGGAACCCAATCATGACATGTGATTCAATGCTCCAGCGTTGGTCAGCTTCTGGATGTGCCAGTGGGAAGAATCATGAAATGGCTTCAACTTCAGTGGCTTAGAGCCGGCCTTGAGGTATCGTGTCAAAACCGTAGAACGATGCGCATGTAGTGAGGGGGCATGACGACCGAGATTAGGGCTGCGACCTATCCTTAGTGGCAGGAGCCTATGTTGCTAGGATGGACGAACACTGAATATTTTGTATCGGCCAGAGTGAACACAGGCAGACCAGACTCGTGCGGACGGAGGCCCACCCAAATTCTGGAAGAAAGGGAGAGGAGTTGGAGGGAGAAAGACAAATTTATGTGCTAGTACGGAGGACTGAGATGAGCGACCGACCGTATCATTGTTCGGAGCTGCTTGAAGTGGAGAGATTTTGACAGAAAGGGACCACTGAACAGCGGAAGCAGCCTCGATGTACGCATTGGTCTACATGCTACACAACCGTATGCAGCTAGGCTATACCCCTTAAAAGAGCAACTTCAATTGTCGATATCCTACCCGGGGTACCCAAATGGTCGGACACAGTATTCACTCCAGCTGGCATTGAACTCTAAACACAAAACCTTCGATGGTGCAAGCCAAGACGGCGGGTGTGTTAAATTAGGACAACTTTGGATACCTCACAAATCTTGTTGTCAAGCCACCTCACCAGTTTTTAAGAGACTCGGAACTCATGTAACAGTTACTTTGATTGATATTTCGAAGCTAGGATATGTATGAGTGGTGTTTCTATTATTTATTCATTATTTGTATTATTTGTTTTACATGAGCTAAATAAGCGCATTTTTGAAGTTGAACCTTCAACTGCCTGTTGTAGTGATCGGTATAGCCGTCGCGCAGTAATTTTTGTGAGCTAAAAGAGGAGCATATGAGAATCGGTTCGGTTTGATTCAGAAGATCTCGAGGAGCTCCAGTTCTACTGAGATGTGCGCATCCAATGTGTCGCCGTCGAAAAAGGTATCGAAGCTCGAAGTAGGAGGGGATTCTCGTCATCCGATGTATAGGGGCGTGCGGAGAAGACCTTGGGGCATATGGGTGACAGAGATTCGAAGGCCGAAGAAGAAAGCTCGCATTTGGCTAGGATCATTCGAAACAGCGGAAATGGCTGCCAGGGCATACGATACCGGTAATCTGATCGTGTTACTCATGATTTTCAGCATTCGTAATTCGAAGCCACAGTTTCGCAACTTTTTCTCAGCTGAAGTGCATTTTGACACAACTGGACTCTTGCTTGTAGTTGTTTTGTTGAACAATCAGATGCAATATTATGACGGTACCAACTCATGATATTCTTTGTAATTCGTCAATCTTTGCAGCGGCACTGTGTCTACGAGGACCTGGAGCACATCTGAACTTTCCGAAACTAGCGAGTTCGCTGCCTCGTCCGCTGGATCTCTCAGACAAGAGCATACAAGCAGCTGCCAATGACGCAGCAAAGAGATTTTCACGAGAGGTCAAGTCTCAAAGACGGCTCTACAGGCTTCATGCAACGGCTTCCTCATCAATGTCAAATGCTGTTGATTCTCAGTCGCATTGCAATCTGCATGCTATCGATGTGCCCAACTCCTTCTCCAGAAGATCAGTACTGACGGCGTGTAAAATTGAGCCTGAAAATTCAGGGGAATATTTCTTTTCCAGTAAGCAGACGAGATTACCCCTACTCACCACTAAATCGAACTCGAACATCCCAAGAGAGCATCGCGTTCGAGCATTGTTTCGTTCTTCACTGCATGGAAGACTCGAAGACGCAGTCTTACAGATAGACGCAGTCCCCACGCACGCCGCAATGATTCGAGAAGATCTGGGCACAAAGAAAGGAATTCTATCACAATCAAGTCGAACGCAGGTCGGAATCTCCAATGACCAAGTTGATCTACAACTAGCGAAGACCATGACCGAGGAATTCGACAGGAGAGTGCCTCAATCCTGCCCAGACAATCTGGAGAAATTGCTGGAAGAGAGAACATCGACGTCGAGCAGGCTGCATCCAGCATCATCATCATCATCACCCACGGAGATGCACCAGAAGAGGCTAGAACTGCAGTTTCTGGAGGAGGACATGATGCTGAACAATCTGTCCGGCTTCGTCACCAGTCTATACGACGGCATGTGCCTAGTACCTCCTCCAACAGCCATGGTGGCCGAAACTTGCTTCCAGGTAGACGGTGATGAAGCCACGACTTACAACTGGGAGCCACGCCTGTGGAGCTTCTGATCGATAGATCGATCTAGAAGGAATTCAGCGACGGAACTCCGCATCGAGTGTGGTGACATGGGCGCTGGTTCGACGAATAAGTTTGTGACGAAACTGGATGAGTTGAGTAGATATAAAATCAAGCTGGCAGAATAACTGGCATGCACCCGGACACCACCTGAGCTGAGAGTACCAGGGACATGGACCCTCCCTTGCCACCGCCCCCCTTAGGCTCTTACAGCAAATTCATGCTAGTCCACCTTTCGTACAAGCTTATGATGTGTCCAGGTACGAAGCTGCATTCGTCACGTGCACAAATTTCTGCTCTCTTTGCGACTGCTAGCCTGTCTGAGCAAGACGGCATTAAAAAGTTCGGCGATGGATTGTCTGTCGTGTTCTCAAAAACCTCCCCCCACCTCCCAATTGTTTTATGTGCTAATGCTTGATCTAGCATATAAAGTGGACGACACCCCAACCCACTGCTTCCTGCGTGATCTAGATGAAAGCCTTTCTGTGCATTTGGGGATGTTCCCTTTTTGCTTTTTTTTGTTTTTTTGGTTTTTTCACTTCGGAAATTGATGGGCTAAGTTCAGGTGGATGTGTGTTTCTCTTCACTGCCTGCTGGCAGAATGGGTCTAACATTACTATGCCTGGTGGATGCCAGCTCGGATGCTCTTAACCTGGCTCCAACGGCATTGCTTGGTCTTGCACATTTGGCTTCTACAGCATTTCGTAGTTGTGAAATCTTCATAAATTATTGTTTCCCCCTCTTCTTCTTTTCCTTCTCCAAGAGGCCTGACCGTCATGAGAAATATCAGATCATATATATCAATGACTTATACTATGTTTGAAGGATGATAAATGGAGGAACTCCTGGACTTTACATTTTTGCCTTTCAAAATAAAACAAAAAATTATGAAATAAACTGTTCATTACATTGTCATATATATATATATATATATATATATATGTGCGTGTGTGTGCACACTTACAGGTAGAGTTTTTGATGAATTTTTTACTTTATTGAAAATTTTAGATCAAATTTATAAAAGAAAATATAATCATGGGGTTAAGTAATTGTGGATATAAAAATTAAGACTACTAAGGAATATTATCTCCGATGTTTATATACCAAGTCCAATAATTTCATAAATTCCAAGTCTAATATTTTGTTAAAACAATTATATTTTTTCAACACATATTAATTTATCAAAAATAATTTTTGTATAATACTACCAAAATTTGATTGATTTTAGTTATATTTTTGGAGTGCATAATAATTCAAGGAAATAAAAAAATAAGAAAATAATTACGATCTATTATTCATAATAGATCATAATTATTTTATACATTTATTTTTTATATTTTTTTATGAATTATAAGTTTTTATAATAAAACACTATTTAAGGATTTATTTTTTAAAAAAAAAAGATTACAATTATTGTAAGTTTTAGTCTAATATATATATATATATATATATATATAATTATTAAAGCCACACTCTTCCCTCCCTTGCCATTTTATGATTGATTCCGTCCATCTTCCATCTTTGTACCCTCTTTTTAATTCTATATCCTCATTCCTGTCTCTCATTCTTTATTCCACATCTCTATTCTTGTCCTTCATTCTTTGTTTTCCATCCCTATTTGTACTTTATAAATTTTATTTTACTTTAATATTTAAAATATAAATATAAACTAATTTTTGTTAATATTGGCTAAATAACAAATTAATATATCAACATGAAATTTGAATATGGTGAAATTTTAATAAGTAGGCATTTTTAATATTCTTGATGGAATAGAGTTAATGTATGTCACATGCTACAAAAGCTCAAAGATGCTTCTATTTACTACTTTGGAATAGTATTAACTTATATTAATATTTACTTAAAGTAGGAAAAAAAAAAGAACAAGATTTTTTTTTAAAATATTTATTTATTTATTTATGTATTAAAAGTATTTTATTTCACAAAAGTATTCATTTCTTTTCTATATTTTTAGTAAGAATAATGCTATGTAATTATTGAATGCCTTTATTTTTTCTTCTTTTTTTGGTTAGCTTTTCTACAATCTATTGAATTATTTATTAAATTAGTATTATAAACTTCCAAAAATATAATGTAATCTCAATTTTTTTTGTTGGTTTCTAATTATCTTCTTCATTTCAAGGTACATTGTGAAAATAATAATAAAAGATTATAAAATTTGACGATTATTACTAGTAAATAAGTGGAATGATGTAAATGGATACTAGAATTTAGGAATAAAAGTTGTCTCTAGGATTGGAAAACACCAAACACAACAACCTATTTTAAACCAAGGTTGTGGCTTCCGTATTCCATGGCTTTGGCCTCTATGCAATTTTCTTCACTATCCAATCTTCAAATCCAAACTACATGTTCTACTAATAAAAATAATAATTTAATATTTTATTAAAAAAATTTAAAAAATCCCTTGCAATATTTCTACTTCTACCAACTCTCTTCAAATGGAGTTTTATAGAAAGCATGTTTCCATGGAGGAAGGAGGGGAGAAAATGAAAGAAAGAGGGAGGGAGGGGGGAGGAGATGTGTGACCTCCACATAAGCACATGCCATATAAGCTTAAGCACCAATTTTAAAACCATCTTAGGTTGGGAACAAGGAACAAAGGGAAGGGAGGGGAACATGGAATAAGGGAGAGAACAGGGGACACGGGATTAGAAATGGGGGACAAAGACTAGAATAGACAAAATTAATCATGAAATGGTATGAGAAGGAAACATGGACAGAGAACTAAGAACAATATTGGAGTGTGGCTTTAACAATTATATATATATATATATATATATATATATTAAAGAAATTAAATATAATTATTTTGTTTGTGGTTTTATTGAATTTATACTTTAAAATATTTGATCTTTTAAATTATAAAGTAAAAATTATTAGTTTTAAAATATAGCTAATAAATATTTGATAATATTTTTTGTTTTATATAAAATGTTTATTTTCTTTCAAGTCAATTAACATATGAATTTTTAATTAATATATCTATATGTTATTTAGAAATTATAAATCTAATGTTTATAAATATTTTCAACATAATATTTTTGAAAAAGATACATTTTTAAAGTTTGAAATAATAAAGATTTTCTCATAAAAGAAAGTCTCTTTATTCAAACACAAAGCTTCAAGTTGAATTCTAGATAAACTTATAGTCCTATTAAAAGTTTTAAACTCCAAATTTATAACTAATTTTTTTGATAAAATATTTATGTAATAGTAAGGCATCAAGATTTTCATCCAAAATCTACAAGATCTATGTTTTTTAAATGTTATTTTAATTTTTATATTTTAATTTTACCTATTAATTTGTTTGCTACTACCTCCTATTTGTTTCTTTGAATATTCTTTGCACACTTTGTCTCTCTACTAGTACTCTTTTGTCGCCACTAATCAATTATCTCTTGATTGCACTTATTAACTCCTTTATGTATTGCTCTCTTTATTCTTTGTGCACTTTTGATAAATCCTTGCTAATTTTATTTTTCTCTATGGTGCACCTAAAGTTCCAAATAACATTTCAAAAAACAATACTACTTATTGTTGTAATTTAGGTCTCTATCTGTTTTGAAAAATTATGATAAAAAATATTCTTTTAAATTAAATTAATTGCACTGAGATAGTTTGTATTAATTGCATTTTTCACTATGTAGTAAAGTTATCAAGAATACTAACGTGTTATTTCTAAAAACAAATTCAAACTTAATTTCAATAAAACTATTTTTTTAAGATATTAAATTATTCAATATTTGAATATATATCTTTCAAGTATAAATAATAGCACATTCTATAGAGTAATTTCTTAGATAAATTTCTAACAATAAAAAAAATCTAGTCTATGTAAAATTATTCAAGAATATAATAAATAAATAAAATAAAATAATATAAAATCTTTAAAAAAATAATTTTATACATAATATTAATATGCTTAAATTTATTTTTATGTAACATATCTATCTAAAGGTGATAAAAAATCTACGGTCAAATAATTAAAATTTAAGTACTTTTTGTTATTGGTAAGGTGCAATTTTAAAACTTTATTTTATCTAAAATATACTTTTTTTTAAAATTATCTAATTCAACACTTGATTTTTTAAATAGTTTCAGATTATTTTCAAGAAAAAAAATCTGAACATAAAAAATTATTTTACTTATATTTATCTAAAAATAAAATTATTATAATAAATCTTCTAAAATTAGTTCATATTTTTATGATACTTATAAAATATAAAATGAAATAAAAAAATATTCATTGGATTCTAAATTCCTCAAAAAAAATTGATTTTTGGTTTTAAATTGGTATTTTTTAACATCTGCATAACCTGATTTCTAAGAAGTGATTTATTTTCTTCAACTTTACTAAAATATTATGTGGTATGTTCTATTGGCAATAGTAGTACATGTCTCATTTTACTACTCAATATTATGTGCTAATAACATATTATAAATTGGCTTAGATTTTTATTAATATTATTTAATAAGTAATTTAAAACTAATTTTATAAAAAAAATTATATTTTCTATAGTAGCATATTACTTTTACTCTTTATTAAAAATAAATTATTTTATTTAGTTTATTTATTTTAGAGAAAATTATTTAAATTATATTAGATGGTCTCCTAATTTAACTATTAAGGCTCTTTAATGGTATAGCTTCTTTTTGTTGATGCTACTTAAGTTAGGATCTTTAATACCTACACATACATCTTTTCATATTACATAAGTTGCACAAAAGTACCAATTTATTCAAAACTAGAAACAATCCTTGTTTTTCTATAAATTCTCTTAATATAAAATAAAATAAAATAAAATAAAATATTTTTATAATTTATCCTATTGTATTAAATATATGATTTTCTAAAACTATAGTTCTAAGCATTAATTATTAGAAACTAAGTATTGATGGAATTTGTGATAATAAAAGCTAACTTTGATTTCATATTTTTATTCCAAATTTTATTTTATGAAATAAGAAAAAAAATATTTATATATATATATATATATATATATATATACATAATCAAATTCATATAAATATCACTAAAAAAATAATAATGTTGCATAAAAGTAATAGTTTAAGAAACACCCCCACAACAGGATGACATGAAAGAAACTAATGGCTAAAACATCATAGGTTTGGCTGCAAGAATTTGGACAGATTACATGGATGAATTGTGACATGGATGAACTGGGCCATGGATGATAATCCGTCCACGAGACATCGCGACAGTTCGATAGGGGATGTCCTATCTAACCCTAGTCTTTGACAGAGGCCAGCTAAGTTCGTTCGGGCTAGATAATAGCCAAATCCACACCAGGTTGGACTGCGGACGGGCAACCCCCGAATTTAATACGACGAACCGGAATTCGGAGCGAGGGGTCGCCCTCTCTTTCCGCCGGCGACCTCCGGTCGACGATTTGCGAAGCGAGGCTGTGTGATGGCCAGAGTCGCGTAGCTTGATTCAAGAGTGGTGGTGCTCCGAGGTGTGGCACTCATCACCCTTTCGCCTTGGCGTCATGGATAGACCTGACTTCGGAGGATTTATCTTTTATTTTTTTTCAATTTTTTATTTTATTTTTTGGTTTTGTTGACCTCTGGGGGATTGTAGTCGGTACCATTGTGGTGTCCATTGATTGTTAGCTTCGGTAAGAAGCGAGAATGGGACAATAGATTCTGAGAGTATGTGCCGAATTTTTGAAAGTTTTAGACCGTCGCCTGATGTGCTGGCATTTCTTGCTCTTGCTCTTGTCGGTGACTTCATGGCGATCACTTGCGTATGCTCCAATTTGATAAATTCGTCTGAACTACTGGTGTATTTGCACTCAGTCAAGATAGTTTTGTTTGTAACCTCGATCTTTTCTCAAGAAGCTGCATATAGGGTTTTAGTAACTCATGGTATCAGAGATGTGAGGACCTCAGTATCCGAATGTATTGCTGTGAAGAGTTCGTCCTCCAGTCGCATCCCTTAGACAAACTGCGAATGAGAATGTGTCTTATCCTTCTGTTGTGTTCGTTTCGAAGGCCTTTCAGATCAGTACGAAGATTTTGTTGATGAGTTCAGTATAGATGATGGACCCCAGGTATTTACGATGGAGGATCACATCCGTTGGCTGGTGAGCGTTCTTAACCTATTGTATTTTGTTTTAACTAATTCTGGCTTGCACTCTTTTCAAACAGAAACTAGAAGTCGTGTTGGGTATCAACGCACAAACGAGTCTCTAAATGTGGATGGGATCCTCATTCATTTTTTTTAAAGGACTTTCTTCATTCTTTTGGAATTGTTTCGAGCTGAGATCTTCAAGCTTTGATTGATTGTTTGATTGAGTGATAATGCTCCTACCTTTTTTACGTTAGCAGTCTGAATTGAATATGAGTCCATGCGTTCCTTGGACTTTATCCGTCAGCACCCTCAATGCAAGGATACGATGGGGTTGTGAATCCTGCAGGAAGAAAGACAGATGGCGAGAGGAGTCCAAGTTGATACTTCAACAGGCTCATGGGGAACAGTACATTCACTAAGTCAAGGGTCGTATGACGAAGATCTTATTTTTTCTGATTACCACGATCCTGACTCCAACCTCCTCCATGATCTTCCAAAGAGATAGTCCTCATTCCGCGCAAGTGTATTATTATTATTCAATTCAGACTCTAGCTCCCATAATTTTTCTGACATGTACACAATCGTTATTGAAGAATCTCCTGACGCTGGGCTCTCACCGAGCGGCAATTGTATCAATAAGCATACAAAACCAACGTAGTCTATTCCTTTTCGAAACATTTCAGGCTCTCGTCAGTTATGTTATTCTACTGAGCTATCGTAATCTTGGTGAACGATGTGTTACTGGTGCAATCTGCAAAGAATAGGGTTTTGGTCTGTAAAGAACGTTAGTCCTGCAAAGAATAGGGTTTTGGGTAACATTGTGTGATGAATGAAGCACGATGTCTGTAATCAAAATCCACTTAATGTGTTGAATCTGAAGCTGAAAATGTCTCTAACGTTGGACTCATCTGAACAAATCTTTCTTTGAGCTTAAAGAATACACCCTTACTAAGAGAAGAAACAATTCACTTTTTGATTTCCCGTATATCTTTTTCTGAATAAAATTTTACTGTTAGTGGAGCGACGAAAGTTGGTGAATTGGGGGATCTATGCTCAAAGCATCGTAATTTGAGTTTGCACAAGAAAGTATGTGCCTTAGCGTGTCGGACGTTTCAGGCATCTTCCTCGGAATGGATCTATTGGTGTCTGCATGACAATTTTAGAGTAACAACCAGTATTACAATTTGTCTTCTCCAATTCACCTCCTCTCAATCCAATTTCTCAACGTCATACATCAAGGAGAATCTTTGTTACGCGTTTATGCTATTGAATCCGAACCGGTCAATGTGAGTCAGACTCTAATCTCCCAGAACGTAGAGGCAGCCGAGAGCTGAGGGGACCAACCCAGAATCCCTGAAGGTAAAAGTTATCACCTCGCATGTATACGAGTGGCATTTTTAATTTCGAAGCCTACGTAGCCCTCACGGAGTTATGTCGAGGAAGCAATCACATTCACATCAACGTTAGGCTGATCGCGAAGTCTCGTGCTGCAGGGCGTTGGCTGATTTTTCGGTAGTTTTCTGCCAGGTGATAGGAGGTTGCTAGGATAGTTAGCTCATTCACTTGTCTGGTAAGGTTAACGGTGGAGACTGGTACAGGCAGTCGAACTCAACTCCTTCGCCACTACGGCCAGCCGGTGGTCGATCCCCTCAAGTCTGAGAAACCGGAACAAGAACTTCCATGCATTGTCAGTGAGAGGAAGATGCATGTGGTTATAGGCTGTTTCTCCACTATGCTTATCTTCTATCCACCACCTTCCTGATTCTGATGACGATTGATTAATTACGTCTCTGGTCTAATTTTCCGAGTTCTTGCAAAAAGTAAGTCTGGCTTGACGGGTTTCATATGATCAATTCGCTCCATGAACGCACTTGGGTCCAATATAGTTTGCTATAACTTTTCAGTACAAACATTCGATGTGCGCTCCTGTTTTCTAATGTCAATATGGTGAGCGAGGTTTTTCATGAGATTGTAACGATTGAGAGAATGTCAAATCAAGAGTAGAAGCTTTCGGTTTTAAAAGTGCGTATTTGCTCTTGCTTAGAAGTGAGGAAAGAGCTCCCCAAATTGAAACTTTCACCCTTCACAGCCAAGTAATACAGCGGCCCCCGTGTTGGTCTTTCCGAGGAGATGTCATTCTGTGGTTGTAGTAAAGAAGATTGACGGTTGGTGAACAACGTTAGGAGGAACGTAACGTTAGGAGGAACGTAACGTTTCGTTGATTTTTGGCATCAGAGAATTGCTTTGTAGTCTTCGAAGCTCACGTCGATTTACTACAATGATGTATTGTTTCAGTGAGGGAAGCAAATTCGATGGAGGGTATACATAGGTATAACAGTAAGGAATTTTACCTATTGACATTAAATAGGGACGCGCATCAGCTATTCGTACTAGCTGTGCCGGTATGGTTAATACCATCTGAGTTCGTAACGAATTCTTGGCAAGTCGAAAAATACATTTCGTCAATTGCTTTTAACAAGGTCGAAGAAGCATATCCCGCCGAATATCCTCGAACAGCGAATTGTCGTAATTGGGTAACTGGGAATAGCTATTTCTGCAATCTCGAAGCCGTCAATTAAACGTGAAATCCGTTATGATGTAATTTCCTCTGCTTAAAAGGGCAAAGTCGAAAACCTCAGAGTGAGCGAACGCCAAATACCCTCCTGTAGTTTTCCGGCGTCGGGGTAAACCGCCGCGTGTTTCCATCTTTAAGTGTTCATTGAACCTAGTTGTGGATCTGAGAATGAAGGGAGCCGTCACTGACGCTGGACGATCATGATTGTCATGAATTTAATGAATAATTACTCATCTTGCTCTCAAGTACGCAAAGGATCTCCTTCGTGAAATCAACTCGCCCTTACGTCAATCGGGAATTCATTTCTAAAAATCGGGGAGAGGCACTCTAGAGATGGATGACGCAAATTCGGTGCATGTTGGAGGGCTTTCATATGAAAGTAGCGAAGACGCAGTGAAAAAAGCATTTATCGAATTTGGCGAAGTGGTTTCTGTGAAAATTGTATATGACCGTGAGAGCGGGGAGTCTCGTGGTTTCGGATTTGTTTCCTTCACCAACCCTCGATCGGCAACAATGGCGATTCGCGACATGGATGGAGGTCAAATTGAAGGCCGTACCATCCGCGTCAACGAGGTACGGAAGAACTTAAAAGGATTAGGATTCCGCGACCGAGATCGAGACTTTAGATCTCGAGGAATGAAAGAACGGATTCGGCGCCGAGGATCTCTACCGTCCCGTGAGCGAATGCATCATCGCACCAGATCTCCGGTTCCCCAACGAAGCCGCTCCCCCACGCCTGTGAAAAGTAGTCCAGCTGCAATAGAAGGCAGCCCAAGAAGAGGAAATAGCCCCTTCGTCAATGCAGGAAGATACCAATCCGCAGAGCTCAAGGAACGAGAGTGGTCACACGGTACCCGTAGCTCGGTGTCTCCCCCAAGCTCCGAGGGCAACGAAATAAAAGAGGAATCTTTACACAAGGAAGTCCCCAACCTCAGCTCCCGCATCGCCGCAGAGAAGGACGAAGAGGATGTGCGCAACCTGCTGGAAGAGCTGGAGAACGCCAAAGAGAATCGGCGAGGGCTCGAGGAGAAAGTTGCGAGTCTCAGGAGCGTGGTGGAGAAAGCTGTTGTCACAATCGCCGCCCTAAAAAGCAAGTCGCAAAAACTGGAGGAATGCTTAGCAAATGCTCAGCAACTAACTGCGCACCGCCAGTTTCAGCTCAAACGGCTGAAGACAGGCGTCTTCCAGTACAAGCTGTGCACGGAGAGGCTTTCCAGCAGCGAGAAGGAGATGAAGGCTTTGGCAGCCTTGGCCTCTCTGGAGGCGGATCACAGTCCTCGTAGCAACAGCAACCCCGACGAATCACCTCCTTGCCTCCCAAACGGCCATTTCGCCGGAGACGAGCAAAACCACTACGACGGTGACCAACACACGAATCTTTTTCCTGCATACACCACAAAACAAAACAATTTAGCGCAACTGCATGCTAAGGCATGCGATCTTCAGTACTGAAGCATCCACAGCTTAGGCTGCTTCTCACCACAAAATTTTGTCACCAATGACAGATTATTTGAGTAGCAGGGCTGCTCGGGTGCGGCGAGGCGGGCTGACGGGGAATGACAGCGCTCTGCTAGGATTTTGAATTCGATAGGCGCGTGTTGGGAATGGCTCCCACCCTCCGATTCCAAAGTTTCAGAGTGAGTTCATGATTCGTGCTGGCTTCCTCATTCAATCTGAATATCAATAAAAACAGCCTCTATTGAATGGGGTAACGATTCTTTTTGTCAGAAAAACGTCTTTAAATGGTTTTGAGTGAACTCGGAGTTAGTGGTCGGATTCATATATATGGGAATTGATAGGTTGACCTGGGTTTTTACTAAAATGACATGGTTTGGTAACCTAACCTAGTTCACGTGTAGGGGTCCTTAATAAACATGTATGTTCATTTATGTACTGTGCAGCCAAATTTGGTCACCTGACCTAGTTCATTGATATACTGCAGAGCCAAAATATTGTGCATATGGTTTTTAAAACCAAAATTGAATAATTAAGTGCGTTATTTGTGTTCACAATTTATATATTTTCATTCACAATATTTGTTCACAATTCATTTCATACTTCATTACGTGTGAACGAAGTTTCATGTGAACTGTAAATGAACTCATAAGTTCATCAACTTTTCTGTTCACAATGAACAAATGCCCCATTAAATTTTTTATTTTTTATTTTTTATTTTTTCATCCTTTGTTACATGTGAAATCAGCTGATGAGTTAGTTCATCAAACAGAAAGATAATCCATAAATTTGTGTAAAGAATGCAATGAAGTATTTGAAGGATTTCATGTTCTTTAATCATGCAGCAATGGTTAGAACTATGTGACCACAATTTTAAAATAAGAATCCACATCAGGCAATCAAGATGTAATTCCCTGTGATTGAAGCCTTTCTTTCATGATTTGTTTTATTTGTTTTTTTATGTTTTATTTTTTAAAATTTTTGCAAATCATAGCCTTTGTGCGAGAGAGCATTTCAATTTAATCTTACATGTGGTAATTGCAACCATGACCATGTTTAGATGATTTCATGTTTTTTTTGTGGAATCTGTGGCCTCTAGTAAACCTAGTAGATGTTATAAACACTAGCTACCAAGCAACATGTGTTGAGCAACAATAACAGCAATAAATTCAGCCACTTCTTGATTGGATCTGTGGAGTGTCAGAGTAGAGAGAGTTTGCCTGAAGAAAGCACTAGGCTCCTGGTTGTCACTAATTGTTCAATCAAGCTTCCAAATAAGGGAAGCCTAAGTTTATATATAAAATTTCCCTTTTTGGAGCAATTACACCAAATACATAAGCCTCAAGTAACCAACAGCATCCAAAATATGATAAAATCTTCTAAAACCTTGTATACCTTTATGTGAAAAATTTCTTGAACTTCAATACCTTATATCTCCTGATCCGACTATTCAAACTTACTCAAATTTTATAAGAAGTATTGATGTATTCTTATCAACTTCTACATCAAATTTCAACTACAAATTCGTTGCGGATCTTAAGATATTACCAAAACCCTAACAATAGCTTCAAACCTTAGTTTTTATACATCCACGTGTGATTTTTTTCATATCTCACAAATTAAATACTCAAATACCACAAAGTTTGTATATGTAATTTTTTAACATAATTATCTATCTTCTCCAAAAGATTTGAACCAAAAATTCTTCTAAAAACTTAAGATATGGCTCTTACCATTACTATGAATAAAATCACTTACTTACTGTCTTTGATTTGGATACACTAACTTCAATCCTCTATAACTTCTTCATTCAAAGTCCAAATTGATTAAAAAAAATATATACAAAAAGTGAGGTCGAAGAAGTGTTGTCTCCAACCCTAGTTGCTGATCTTATGTTGCTCTCTGCAAATGTATGTTATGATCCAAAGAATGACAATAGGTACAATATTGACACCTTAACTTTGAGCGCCAATAATTCTTTCATAAAAACTCCAAATCATACAAAATTTGTACCTAATTTGTATTCAAAATCCTAAACTTCCTAACCCTAGCCTCCAAAGCTCAAATGACTTCAAAAAAAAACCCTAATCTCTAATAAGACTTGAGGCAGCCTCCTTGAAGTCCATTGGATATGGCCTTCGATCAATAGGAATGAAGATCTCCATTCCTTGCCTTCATCCAACCATGCCTTGCTTTTATCCCTTCTAATAAGCTTCCAATTAGTTAAGATTTTCTTCTTTAGGCTTTAATCTCTTCTAAAGGCTTCATACTAAACATTTAGGTCTTATAATTTTTTTAAATGCTATAATCAAAACAAGTAAAAAAAAAAAAAAAAAAAAAAAAAACAAAGTAAAGTTTTTTATACCAACTTTCTTTAAATTAATCTATAAACCATTCTAACACACATCAATACTTATAAACATATTATATGTTCTAACTAATTTTTACATACTATAAGCAATTACAGTATGACAGCGACACTAAAAGAAAAAAAAATCCATTTAGAATATTTCACCTATTGTCGTAGATTTGTGCTTTGACAACTACACAACCACACATTCTTCAATACAAGATTTACGTGCACTATCTTTCTCTACTAAGTCCATCAAGGTGAATACACTATTAATGTTACAAGTCAAGCTATCACATTTAGATGAGGTTAATGTTCCTTCCAAATCAAACTATCACATATCTCATAAGAAGACGATGCAACATGGACATCTAATGTGGTTAACACTGACCACAATTACAATCTAACAATTGTTATAATAGCCTATCCATCAAGAAGAATCTTATCAATAGACAAAGTTGAAATAGTTCAAAACTTATTTGAAGTTTGTGCTTCTTTCCAAGTCATCCATACTAAGGAGATGCAATTGTATTCCAATAGTAGATGCACTTGAAGGAACATATATAACCTTTAAGATTCTTTAAGATGAGAAGAATTTACCAATCATATTCTTTTAGAAGTACTCTTAAATAAGTTAGAGAGCAACAATGTCTTCCATATAAAAAAATTGAATAGCAATAGTAGTCTTTCTCATTTATTTTTATGCCTTCCAAGGTAGTTGAACTTGAATGTTAATACAACTATGCACTTCATGTCATCTTATTAGACTCAATATATAATACAAATTAATTTTAAATGCCATTACAACATGTTGCTACTAGCACAAGCACAAATCATTCTTGTTTGCTATGCTTTTGCTTCATTCAAGCAAAGAAAGAAGATAATTATATTTGAGCTTTGAGACACATATAATTTGTATTTGCATCAATACTTCTATTTGTTTTTATAATTGATTGTAAGCTCTTATTGATATATGCAATTGACATTGTATTTTCAGATATTATAATACAATGCTTGCTCTATATGTGGCACATCAAGAAAAATGTACTATCAAATGTCAAGTCCATTATCCAAGATGCTATAATTTTAAGGCCTTTATAACTATATGAAAAGGAGTGGTTTATGCAATTAGTATCAAGTAGTACAAAGAAGTCGTGAATAGCCTAAAACATGACTTTAACAGTGATGTTGGGAGATATATTGATGTTGTTTGGATGTTCCCATATTACACAAAGTTTGTAAAACTTTGGACTAATTACATTTGCTATTATGGCCATTACCTAACATTGTAGGTTGAGGATCTACATGGTGCAATAAAAGACTAGATCTCAATGTCCATGGATAATTTCAACAATGTACATAAGAAGATTAGCTTAGTTATTAATGCTCAATTAGCTAAAATTTGATAAAAGCTTATTTTGAATGCCACACACCACTTTACTATATATTTTAATCTTGTGAGATATAAGATTGTTCACAAAATTTTACATTATGCCTTGAAAGCAATTAAAACAAAATTTAAACAAGTACAAAGCCTACCAAAATTAACTACATCTTGTTCATGTGTGATCACGTTATTGATGAATATGCCTTATCTAAATGCATTCTAGAGGTTAATGTAGGTTGGCAAGTCTTTGAAAGTTGACAATTTTGATTGCCATTAGTGGCTTGAATATATCTATCTATATATATATATATACTTATAATTTATTTAGCTATGCATGTGTAGTATTTAAGGCCACTTCAAAGTATGGTAGTTTGATTGAATGGATCTTAGACAACTCTACTTAAAATTGGACAAAAGGTCAATGTAGAAGTCTTTAAAATATAATTAATATGACTATCGACTTATTTGCTCAATTGATGATTGCCCGCCTTAATTTGGTCGGCCCAATTTCTTATTAATCTGAAAACACCTTGACACCAAAACTGCCATGAATTGTTGCCATGTCGGCAATTTCAACCAAAATGCTTGGTAGCCATTTGCTTTCAGCATATAGGTAAAGAAATTAATTTTAATTCTCTCTACTAATCATAATGCTGGAATACTTTGTCCACTCAACAATTTTTCGATAGTGTGAAGTGGCCCTTAAAAGATTTTTTTTGCAAATGGTCTATTTGAGAATTTGTGGATGAAATTTATTGAAATATTTTTTTGCTTAAGAGGAGACTTGAAACTCATATTTATTAATTTAAAATATACATATGTATTAAAAACAATTCTTTTGAAAGTATCTCTAATTCTTTACACCAATAAATTTGATACAAAATAGTCTCTTTTGGCTACTATTATTTTTTTAATATAAAAATAATTATTACATGTATTTTTTAAATTAAAAAGATTAGAATTATTCACAATTTTTATTGTAGAAATATTCACGCTTTTCAAGATGTGCATCCAAAACAAAATTGAATTTGGTGTATATAATCATATAATTAATATTTGATAGTTGATATTATAATAAATAAAATACTAGATTGACTTATTAATCTCAACGAAGAATTCTATATCAATTTTAAGTCTCTGAAAAAGTATTATTAATATCATAATTTCAAATTATTAGTACAAATATTGTTACTATTTTTGTTTCTTTGATTTATCAACATAAGTTTAATAAATTTATAATTATACTTAGAGTAAGAATTTCTTCATAATATTTATAAACAAATCAATTCTCAAAATCCATTAAATATATATATATATATATATATATATATATATATATATATATAAAATTTAATATATAATATATAAAATAAATTAATTGTTGATTATTTTTTAAAATTATAAAGATATTCTACAAATATAAGGATTTTTAACTATTTTTCTTAAAAAAAAATTAACATTTGTATTGATAACTAATTGTTAAAATAGAGAATGGATAATTTCTCCTTCTTATCTTTAACGATTATGAGGTAATCAAAAAAAGAATGAAGTTTGTATAGCTTATCTTGAAGGTTTATTGCATTGCATGTTACAAATTTGTGTTTTTGTTAAACAACTATACTTGCAAAATATACATGTTCACATATATAAAATTAAGTCCATTTATAATTTTAAATTAAAAAAATTAGATAGATCAAAATATCATTTAATTTTTAAATGGTTTAGGTTATAAGAAAAAGTTTTTTTGAAATTATAAAAGTTAATATAAGATAATTACAAGATGAAACTTTCCTTTTGTTGCATAAATATCTCTGCATCTTGCAA